CCTCTTTCTCCTGCCTTACCAGTTTCATGTAGGATTGCCTGAGTGGAGTGAAATGAGAATGAGAATTGAATGTAGAAGTTGGTGACTTTAGATATCTACCCTGTTTTTAATAGAACTCTGATATTAGTTCATGTAATGATCCAGGAAATGGACACCTCATAGGTTTGTAACACAAATGGATATTTGTAACCTGGGAGCTGCACATAGTTTTAATTTGTATTTCCGTAAGGCTGTGGTGCTGGAGAAGAGTATTGAATATACCATAGACTGCTAAGAGAACAAACAAGTTTATCATAGGGTTAAACCAGGCTGTCAGTGACAATAAGATTGGCACAGGGTAGAGCAGGGTTTAGGGCTGCTGTACATAGGGTCACTATGAGCCACAGGCAACTTGACGGCACATAACAACAACAACAACGCTAATGAAGGAGCTCTGGTGGCCTAGTCATAGTGGAAGTTACACTGGAACCTGAAGGCCCCTTCTCTCAGGTGATTCGAAACCACCAAGAGTTCCATGGATAAATGGTGGGCAACCTTCTGTCATGCAGTTTAGAGCCTTCGAGACCCAGTGAAGGGCCAGCAGTGAATTTGAATGATTAATGAGAAGAATGTTAATCCAAGAATACTTAATTGTGCTTATGTGAATCCTATACCAAGGCCAAGAAGCTATTGTCTGATCAGAGCTGTTGTCCATAAAAGAACACTGTACGGTTCCATAATCAAGAAAGGTGTACATCAGGGATGTATTCTTTCTCCATACCTATTTAATTTGTATTCCTGAACAGATCATTCGAGAAGGTGAACTTTATGAAGGACAGTGTGGCATCAGAAAAGACTCATTAACAATCTTCGTTACACAGATGACACAGCCTTGCTTGCCAAAAGTGAAGAGGATTAGAAGTGTTTGCTGCAGAAGATCAAAGAATACAGCTTTCTATATGGACTGTATCTCAACATCAAGAAAACAAAAATTTTCACCACTTGACTGGACCAGTAGGAAGCATTATGATAGATGGAGAAATATTGAAGTTATCAACAGTTTCTTTTTACTTGGATCCATAATAACATTATTGGTACTAGCAGTCATGAAACGAAAAGACAAATGATTCTTGGAGAATGTGCTGTTAAGGGCCTCGCCTGAGTGCTAATGAGCAATGATGTCAGTCTAAAGACTAAGGTGTACTTGATCTAATCATGGTCTTGCTATGCATCTGAAAAGTAGACAGTGACTAAAGATGACAGAAGAATTGATGCCTTTGAGTTGTGGTTCTTGAGAAGAGTACTGAATGGACTGCTAAGAGGACAACAGGACTGTCCGGAAAAACATGAAACCAGGGTGCTCCTCGGAGGCAAGGATGGTAAAACTTTATCTCATATACTTGAGTATGTTGTTAGGAAGGGTCCTGTTGTCAGAGGGAGAAAGTGGAAGATGAGCTCACGACCTTTGATAAGATGGTTTGACACAGTGACTGGTCTTAGTATGTTAGAGATGGTGTGGTTGGCTTAGGATAGGGCAGGGTTTAGAGCAGTTGTACATAGGGTCACTATGAGTCGGTCAGGATGACAGCACATAACAACAACAAATGATGTTGAACATCTCTTAGGTTTTTTGCCATCCTGTTATCTTCTTTAGGGAATTATCTGGGCACATCAGTGCTTATCCCTTTTAAAAAAGTGATAGTTTCTTACTATTGCATTTTTAAAAAATTCCATTTTCTTCTAGAAGTTTTAGTTTTATAGTTTAGTCATTTAGTAGTAAAATTAAAATTAAATTTTGTATATAATGCTAGGGAAGGGTTTTAATTCTTTTTTTTTTTCCTTGCAAATGTATTATGAATGTTTAATTGATCCATTGCCATTTGTTGAAAAGACTGGTCTTTTTCCATTATTTGATTTTATTTGATTCTATTGAAAATCAATTGAAGTGCACATGTGCAAGTATCTTTGGTTTCTTTTCTATCTTTTCAGTTATGATACTTGTATTCATAGATATAGCTTTACAGTAAAATTTTAATATAGTGTAAGTTATTAATTTTATACTTTAAAGACTGTTTTGTCTACTTTTGGATAATTGTATTTTTCAAATAAAATTTAAAAACAACTTGTTAATTAGTACAGAAAATTTGCTGGTGTTTGTATTAAAAACACCTATCAGTTTGAGGAATCTTAATAATATTTATGTTGTTTGTTGTTATGTGCCATCGAGTCGCACAGCCCTAAACTCTGCTCTGTCCTGTGGATTGATACAGTAGCTAGGGAAATGGGGATTGGTGTGTGGGAGCCAGTGAGACTGGCTCAGGACAGGGCAGGTTTAAGAGCTGTTGTATATAAGGTTACCATGAGTCACAGGCAACCTGACGGCACATAACAACAACACAGTATTATATTAAAGATATTTTAGTGTATATGAACATGCTCCTCTCATGTTTTACATGTACATAAAGATATATATCATATACTATATACTATTGGAAGCAGCAGTGGCATCCAATTCTTAAACAGCATGCCTCTGGAAACTCTGAACTTTCATAAATATCAATAGTGGTTCATAGGGTCGCGCTCAACTCGACGGCAATCAACAACACAACAATACACAAAGACAAACACGTGAGGTGAGACATAAACCATACCTAATTGTTCCAAATTCTGTGCCAATCCAGGTAAAGGTAGTCTTAGAGACATAATTTGTAATCCAGACTCTGCCTGCCCTACTTAAAAGTCTGTTGAGTCAATTGCAACTCATCACAAGCTTTAGGACAGATCAGAATTGCACCATGGACTCTCCGAGGCCATAAATTTGTAAAGTAGGATGCTACCATAGTTTTCTCCTGTGAAGCCGGTGGATTCAAACCATCAACCTTTCAGTTAACAGTCAAGTGCTTGACCACGAGCCAGAAGAATGCCTTATATAATGACTAGACTGGTTAAAATTAAAAGACTGACAAGAACAAATACAGGCAATGCTGGAACCACTGAAATCAAGATTAGTGGCTGCCAAAGATGATGAGTAAAAGAAAATGATGACTAAAAAGAGATGAAAAAATATTTCTGGGGGACTGAACTGTTTCTTGTCTTGACGATGGTGGTTATGACACAATAGCACACACTTTACCAACATTCACAAAATCATATACCTTTTTTTTTTAAAGTTAATTTTACTCTTTGACAGTTACATCTCAATTAAACTGGGGTTTTTAAGAGTTAAAAAGATGTTTTTCTTTGTTGTTGTTGTTGTTATTGTTGTGTGTCATCAGGTCACCTGTGACTTTATAGTGACCTGATGTACAACAGCTCTGAACTCTGCTCTATCCTGAGCCAGTCTCGTTGTCTCCAACACACCTAACCTCAGCACCCCCATTACCCCATTTACTGAGTCAATTTGTCTCATCCAAGGTCTTCCTCTCTTGCACTGTCTTTCCACCATTCCAAGCAGAATGTCCTTCTCCAGGGACTGGCCCCTCCTGGCTACTTGACCAAACTATGTAAGAAGGAGCTTCAAAATCCTTGTCTCCATGGAGCAATCTGGATTTACCTTCTCTTGGATAAATCTGTTTGTTCTCTTGGCTGTCCATAGTACGTTCAATACTTTTCTCTAGCACCACAACTCAAAGGCATCAATTTCTTCTGTCAACCCTAGTCACTGCACTGCTCGCTGATGCATAGCAAGTAATGGCAAAGACCAGGAAAGATGAATCATTAGTGCTTGAGACACCTAACTTTGCTTCTAAAGTGAACAATTCATGTGTAATTATTACAAAATAATAAAAACTTTCTTTCAGAATCTTAACTCCAATTTGTCATTCACATCATTCTTACAATATGGTGCTCAAAAATTTAACAAACTGAATAAATCATTTCAAACATAATCGAATTGTTGGTCCTTGTTACACTTGCTAAAATGAGATTTAACTCCAGATTTTTAAGAGCTAAATTTGACACAGATAAGAATATAGGATTATTGGTCAAAAGAATGGACATTAACATCAGAATTCCCAAGTAAGCTACCCCTCTGCCACTACCTAGGTATCTACTCACCATTTTATCATCTGAACTACAAGGTTTTCCTTCATTTATAAACTAGATTTAGAAGTTTTTATGAAAACTTCACTTACAAGCTTATAAATGACGCTTCCAAGGCTATTCCTACCTCATAGAATTTCTTGATGCTATGAGGGCCAATAAGCTAATATTTAGAAAATGTTCAAGAGAGCAACCTAAATGCACACTAAATGCTCAGTAAGTGTATTCACTACCATTTTTTGTTCTGGTTACTTAAAGAGACACCTTTCTAGGTTTCATATCTCTGGATTTATACTGTGTGTGTTAGAATTTTATTAAATACTGTGTAAAGAAAAATGGCAGGGCTCCCATTTTTTTAACTGTTACCTTTAAAGAAATGGTCAGGAGGAACTTACTGGAGAAACAAAAGATCTACATGTAATTTTTTTAATAAAGCTTCACAAATGCCCTTTTAAAAATTAGGGCTTGCTTTCTATTTAAGGTGCTGGCTAGATTCCCAAAAGCAAATGTCTCATTAAGGGTAAAATTCACAGCTAGAGAGATTAAATTATCATAAGGAACACTTGTAAATTATTGAAATCAGAAGTAATGCATGTAGAATCACAATGAAGGATCCTTACACCATAAACCATGGAACCCCGGATCTTCCTTAACATCATGACTTCAGCTATTTTCAGGATCACAGTGCAGCTTGGCAAGAAGCTGTACTACAATCCCTTCAGCTACTTTCATGACAGAAGACTAGAATACCAGGAAATGCGATGATTAAATTGTTCAACTTCCCAGGGTTATAAAAATATAACAACAATCTGAAATCTCCTCTGTGTTTTAAACATCTGGTTAGGCCGTCTGGTAGTACAGAGCAGAAAAAGGTGTTCTCTAAGCCTCTCCTACTTCACACACTCTTCCATCATTCCCCAAAGGCAACTACTAGCTCCCAGGAGAAAGAAGTGAGAAATTATAGAAAATGCTCCACTTACCTCTAATTCTTTATTCTCTGTAAGGTCCAATCCAAACACATTGTACTCTTCACCTTAAAGAAATCAGCATCAGGTTCATCATCATCCTCCTCAACTCTGTCCATGAACTGCAGAGGGGCTTCCTTGATCTTCTGTTCCTCAGCAGTGTTTGAAACCGTTTGAGAACCTTCCAATTTCTCCACTTTCTCTTCTACTTCCTCATCTTCCTTCTCTTCTTCTTCTTCTTTTTCTTCTTTTTTTTCTTCTTCTTCTTCTTCCTCATCACTAGTACCACTACCCAGTCTGTCGTCTGTCTCTTCTAATTTTTTCCCACCTTTCTGAAGGATGGACATTTTCTCATTGAAATAGGCTCTAAATTCCTCTACTTCATCAGTGGTGAGGGAGGGAGCCCTTGCCTTAATTTCCTTCTTGGTTTGGCTCGTTGACAAGTCTTTGGTGGGTTGTTTCTGCATTTTCTGAAGGAATCTTACTCGTGGTGCCACAGCCAGACCAAGAGATCTTAAAGACAGGAAAAATGGGAATAATTATCTCAACACAATAACAATACAGAACTATTTTAAAGAAAATATCCCTCTCAATAAAGCTCATCTTAGCAGGTTAGATGGCCCAGGAAAAAAACAAAACAGTAACTGTCAGAAAACATTGTGGAGAAACCTTATTTTTCTTTGAGGGACAACATGGTATAAAAAAATTATACAAAATAAAGAGCATTAAATCAGAAACAAAATGACAATGGTTCACATACTAGATCTGCCAATTTCCAGGCTCACTCTCTCCATCTCACCTGCCTCATAAAATGAGGTACTAAAAGCTGCCAGGCATATCTCACAGCGGTTGTAAAGATCAACAGCTAACTACATGAAATCACATTGTCAAATACAAGTACTAAATAAACTGGAAAAGAGAGAGAGCTATGAGCAAGCAAAAACATAGTTCTCTGCAAAGCATGAACGCCAAGTATCATCCCTCTTCTGAAATGCTGAACAGGACAAGATGCCTTTATAAAAGAATGGGTTTTTATACAGCAGAGACAATGAAAAAGGAAAAAACTGATGAATCCTGATAGAATGGGACAAAACCTGAAGAGGAGAAATCAGATTCCTTGAAAAAGTCCAGCCTTAACTAGCTGAGATTAGAGGACTCCTTGGTATTCTCACCTTGGTATTGTTAGGTGGTGTCAAATCTACCTGAACTCAGAAAGGCCCTATGCACAGCAGCTCAAAACCTGCCCTACATCCACCCTCTTCAAAATCTCTCCTTGTTCAATCTCACTGCTGTAGTCACTGGGTCAGCCCATTTCATTCAGGGTCTTCCTTTCCTTCACTGACTCTGAGCAATCTGTACAGAAATTGTTAAATGGAAGGCTAATTTCCTATATCAACTTCCACCAAAAAACAGTAATTATTTCTAGCAAATAAAAAAGAAAAGAATCTTATTTTCTACATTCAAGATTCACTTTAAGGTTTTGTATTCCCCAGTTTTGCTCAAAACTAACAGACTTTCATTGTTCCCACTGGAAATAAAACCTAGAATTTTATTTCTGGATTGGAAATAAAATCTGCAAGCAAAGTCAGCCACAAAAGCGAACACTATTCCTTGAGTCCACTGTCCTTTTTCTATATGGCATTGTTCTTGAAAACTCTGAGAGGCACTACTGTGAAGTGGTGAGAAGTATGGATTCAGAAATGGGACAACCAGGGTTCAATTGTGGCTTTATCACTAAGTGCATGATGTCAGGAACATTATTTAGCCTCTCAACACCTCAACGGTCCTGATTATAAAATGGGATGATAATGGTTCTCACTTCACAGGGTTTTGATAGAATAAATTAGCCTACATATACAATGTATTTCAAAATATTGGCTAGCACATAAACAGCAACTACTAAGCATTTAATGAATACGGGCCACACAGTGGTTAAGATCCTGCCTGCTAACTGAAAAGCTGCCAGTTCAAATCCACCAGCTGCTCTCCAAGAGTTAAGATGTGGCAGTCTCCTTCCCTAAGGATTACAGCCTTGGGAACCCCACACTGCAGTTCTACTCTATCTTGTAGGGTTACTATTAGTCCAAATCAACTCAAATGCAGTAGATTAACTTGATTTCACTAAGCATTTTTATCACGAAACTATCACTGTGTTTATACCTCCTTCTCAGATAGTTTTTAAAGCTTTAGGGTTTTTTCCCAGTAAAAGTCTGAGTTCCTTGCAGATATCAAGTACATATGATTTACATCAATAATTCAAACATCCAGCAAAATGCCCTGTACGGATCAAATATTCAATTTGTAAATATTGGTAAATATTTTTAGTAAAATACTTTTTTAAA